TTTTGCAGACTCGCTCATCTGTGAATTTGATCCTCTGCCGCATGGTGTCCCCTTAAACGGAAGGAGAGCAAATACATGAGAGTTACAGCCATTTGTGTGGAGCTTACTCGTTGAATAAAATGTCTTCTGAAAGACAAAAAAATGAGAATCTTGATAATACAGATGCAGTATCTCGTCGGAGCGGAAGCACACAGTCAGTTGTTCTTGTGTACCGTTAACAGCCCACAAATATATATCTAAACAGGGAAACCTGAAGTTAGCTCTATTTGAACAGCACCCAATACAATGTAAGGAACTGATTTTGAAAAACGTTGAAATAAGAAGAAGTGTACATCTAAGACGGGTTAATATAACTCTTAATTTGTTAAGGATAAGGGGTAGCGTCATAACTAGCCTCGTAAACTCAAACACAACAGGTAGCTTAGCGGCTAGCTTCCTCATGTTAGCTAGCCTGGTTTGTGTCGCGCGCCTCACTGTCACTGACTGGCACTGGCCGATTCGCGTGCTGGCTAATGCTAGCAGCAACCCCGTAGCCCCGTAACGACGTGCCGTTAGCCACACGTCTGGGCAACCGCGGGACTCGCTCACCGTCTCTCCCGGTGCCCATTAGCTGGTCCAGCATCGCTCGCATCTGCGCCTGGGCCGACATGTTTGTGGAGCGGGGTGTGAGTCAGTCCTCGCCAGCTGGGGTCCTCACACATGCAGCCTCCTCAACCACAGGCCTCTTCGGCTCCCTCCAACAAGCACGGGCAACTTTTACCACAAAGGAGAAAAAAAGTCCGAGTCCCCTCGAGCCAGCGGGCTGGTCGTGTTTGGGTGTTTGTTCAGTTCACTGGATAGTGCGGCACTTTTGAAGAAGCTAAATGTGACTTTGTGGTGATAAATTGCCTCGGGTCGCCCGAGCAAGTGCAACGTCTATTTGAAAACTGCTCTAGTCCACTGGTCGGGTCGAATCGTGTTGCGAGTTGAGACAGCGGTGACTGAATGTTGTCGGGGCGTTTGATTAGCTAAGTGAAAATGTATGAAAGTAAGAAACAATGTCTGCTGTTAACATAGTATCTAAACGTGTCTCTAGCTAATCAGCTAGAAGTATTCAAGTTTGTTCAATGTCCTCTCTTCCGCCTTGCCAGTTCCTCTTCGTGCGCGTCGCCGCCAAGCGCGCTCACGACTCTCGGCCTCGAGGTTGTGGAGCGGTAAACTTCGCGCGCTGGGTTCGTGACAGTGAAACCTTCTTGCTGTTAGGAAACTCTGTTAAGACATTAACTATGTTATACAGTGAATTTTTCTTTGGGGTATGTTTTTCTCATTCTCATAAACTCCACAGTTGGAATAACTAAACGTTAACTGTGTTTGTTTTTAGTTAACTTATTTTTATTTTGTTTGTTAGGAGCTCTTTTCCCAGTTTGGTTGTGTATTACAAGCTAGCTGTGCAGCAAAGAAGTGTTCAATATATATAAATATATATATATATATATAGTTACTATGCTACAATGAAAATCTCTTCAAATTTAATACGCCCTCCTCGGGTGACGAGTCAGGGCTATACAGGTCCAAGCAAGTTGACGGCGATCTTATGCTTAGTCTGTCTTAAGTCACAGAAACCATTTATCTTAGAACATGATACTCCAACCAATTTACATAAGTGCTTGGCAAATATCTACCGCCCAAAAGCAGTTGGAATAATAAGATAATGGTTAAGATCATGTTGAATATTCAAGGCGACGTTGCTATTTCATCCGTTTCAGTTCTTTAGTGTTTCCAGCACTTTATCCACTATAATGAATTCAGCTGTTAGCATTTGGTACAGCCTCCATTGGCTATATGCTGTTGAAAAGAACAGATGGAAGAATGGAATTAAGGGGAAAAAGGGGTCACTGCTGCTTTTGTCACAGAAGTGACATCTCAAGAGCTGGGCTGGCCAAAGAGGCATGTATTAGTCAAATGAGACGACGTTAATGTTAACTAAGCTAAAAAAAATTCAAATCTCAAAATCAACCATTGGACAGGTGTACCAAGAAATGGGAAGAAATTATTGTTCTTTTGGTAGAAGTTTAGAGTGAAAATAGAGTTGGTTTAAGTAGCAAATCACCGTAGGAATCAGACAACAGTAGAAATCAGAAAAATGTTTAGAACATTTTTACACCAATTCCACAATACTGGACATACTTCAGTCAATATATAACAAGGCTTTCATTTATTTAGTCTCACATCAAAGAGCATTAACAGGTTGAATGAAAATTGTAACTACATCAACTATTTTGGCATTTTTCCCAAAAAATTATCTATCAAAACAGATGTAAATGGCTCAAGCCTTATACTAATTTCAGTCATGAATAATATTAAATTAATGCACACGTTGCATGAAATAAATAAAACATTTATAATGCTAATCCAACATGGTTTCAGGTGCATTTCAATCAGTGTCCTGAGGGATATAGCTATAATTGAACTAGGAATTTATATAAATGGGCTGGATCTCTGGAGAATCTATCACCTGTTGGGGATTTAGCTTGTTTAAATTGCGAACGGGGTGGGGTTTACTCAGACATTTGAGAAAAGTCACAGTGAGATCACACAAACACAAAGATTTGTAAAATGATATTGGTTTTAAGGCTGCAGAATAGCTGCTCATTTGTACAGGACTGTAAAGAAAACGGTTTTTTTTATGCACTGAACAACATTTGGTTCCTCGTCTCTTTGCCAGTTTAGATAGAATACATTCATGGCATTTTGCATTTAATCTCTGTATCTTTGGCTAACTTCAGCCTTACATGATTTCTTTATTGTAGCTCAAAAGTGGGTGATATTATTTTTCCTTTTTTGTGTTTATATATAATCTAATTGCTGGTTTTAGATTGAACTTAACTGCTGAAATAAATTAAGTAATACTTCCAGTCTTTTATGAAGATACGTGACATCTGACTGGTGGTCTTACTTTTTTGCCAGGTGGTTTAAATAAAAGTGCATCAGATGAAAAAAACATAAGCAAACTTTCTGATTTTTTAGCCTATAAACACAGAGAAACAATGAAGTGCACAAGTTTTGGAGTTGCTATTTTTAAAGCCGAACTTCAACAATAATGTTATAAGGAAGTTTGAATTTAAGTTCCATTGTATTTCATGCTTTTCACAGTAAGTTACTGTTTACTTTATAATCACGTGTGTTCTACCAATGTGGTTTATTCACATGAAAAATAAAAATATAGATAATGGACTTTGTGTGGTCCTGTTCCATAGCACTGGCATTGGGATCAGTTTGTGGCATTTATACATAGGCCTCAGAGCTTTTCTGTCAAACTACCAGCAACGCCCATCAAGTCAACCCAGCCCAAACAGAATCGTCCTACTGCGGTCTCGAAAAAAATGGCGACGAGTGTACTGCGGTTCTCCCTGCGACTCTCAACCAGGAAAACAGGCATACTAAGCCGTAACCCTGGATTGAAAACATCAGCCATACCCAGGACGACTCAAAGCAGGACTGCGGTGTCCACGCCGTCCGGGGCAATCCTTCCAAAACCAGATAAAGTGAGTGTCTCATATTTTTCGCTTAGTTGTACACTATACGGAACAAGAACCAATGGGCGGTACTTATTTAATGACATATTTGATGGCCAATAGTATGGTAGTATATACAGAGGTGTTGTCAAGTCAGCCAATGAACGGGACCTTTCCGAAACGACGGCACTTGCAGGAAGTAATTACCCCTAATATTATAAATATAAGTACATTTATTGATTTTTAAAGAAAGGTTATGTTGTGTATTGGAATTTAGAACTTGCCCATTGAACAACCCATATTAGAGTGGGATGGTGTTTGATCCAAATTTTATATTTGTACATAAATCGTGATTTTTTCAGGCGGCCGATATCGAAGCAATTCGGTGGCAACCATGAGTTATATGTCCCCTAATTTGTAAACTTAGACTTTTGAAAAGGTGTTTCGCAGTCCTAAACCAATCATATTGCCGAAATTAAAGTTAAGGGTAATGTCTTATCAGTGGCAACCCCAGTATGCAGAAATAGGATGGTGAAAAGCTCCAACCCAAGGCCATAGGCTGATCCAAATACTGTATATAATGGAGGAGACTTTGAAAGACTCATAGGTGGATAACCTCGTTACACATTGTTGTCTGTCATCTCATTTGCACAACACAAAGTGTGGGTTTCTTTCTGGTTCAGCAAAGCCAGCACGTCAAACTGAAGTGGAGCTAAGGCTTCCAACTTTCAATGATTCTTGGATTCTTTTGCAGACGCCTTTTGGCCTCATCCGCATGACAGCAGTGGTGGTGCCTTTCCTGTATGTGGGAACTCTGATAAGCAAGAACTTTGCTGCTCTCTTGGAGGAGCATGATATCTTTGTTCCTGAAGATGATGATGACGACGACTGAGTAAGGCTGGTAGCATAATAAAAGGTAAAGGCATTTGCGTCCGTCAGCCACACCTTAAATACTGTTTAAACATAGTTGATGGGCCCTTTGATTTGTAATCTCTCTTTGTGAGGGGTGTGTCTGAAACATGTGTTCAGGCATGTGTAGAACCCGGTCTTCATGTGTTACAGGGTGCAGTTTGTAGCCATTCACTGATGATGACTTTCAAATTTCCATCCCCAGGATCCTCTGCAATATCAACCACAAGAATACCAGCAGGCCTAAAGAAGAAGAGGAAGATGGAGAAGATGGGGCTCCTTAACTTCTTAAAGAACCATCTAGCTCCACCCTTATCCTACCTCTCTCCTCTGATATTTATCCTGTTTTCAGAAATCTCATATCATGTGAGGCTGTCAGAAATATGACCGATGCCTTCACTCTTGTTTGCATGTTTGTCTGCTGAATAAACTGAATCAATTACACATGGAAAACGTTGTTCTTTAATGTTAACAGTCATGACATCATGAAACAAAGACGGAATGATATTTAGTAAATGCCGTTTTGTTGGCAGCCTGGCTTTGTCCATTTCAGGAGTTAATGAAGTCCCAAGAAGAACAAAGCAAGGGTCTCAAAAGTTAAGTATGTCTTGCTCCTTCCTGAAGTGCCGCATTGGTCAGCCTCAAGTGTTCGTTTAGGGAGCCCAACTCCAGCTGGCTCCGACCCCTCATGTCACTGAGCTCTACATAGGCTTCCTGATAGTGCTTATAAGCTTCTTGTTTCTCCTGTAGCAAATATCATAAAACAGAAGAATAAAAAAATCATAAGAATTCAAGTATAGATGTTTATTCAGTCACAGTTATGTATTTGTATCTATCGATTGTAAGCGTGATTCACAAACTCCTTTGCCAAGGCATACATACCTTAGTCAGATACTGCACTTTGTCCTGTAAACAGCTGATTTCTCTTTTTAGATACTCAACCTCATTTTCCTTTGCCCTTAACAGTGTCTGAAAGACAATTTTTGAACTCTTGTAAAAAGAGACTGAAACTCTTTCAATATCAGTTAGTTTGTGACATTGCTTGATGACTTGATATATTTCTTTTGCTACATTGTATGTTATCCAGCAGTTTACAAGCATAAAAATCTATTTTGCATTGTTGTAAACACAGTGAATGAAAGTCCGATATTTAAGAGACAGAAGTAGATGAAAAAAATCCTTTTCACCGTATCTCAATAAACTGATCATTCTTTTTCAGGCGACTTTAGCTGGAAAGTCAAAAACTTTGGGGGAAATATTCCCTAAATGGTGTGTGCAAGAGGAAAAAGTATATGCCTTAATTTATCCAGGAGGTGGCAGCACATTCTTTACCACAAAGCCTCTGGCCATAGATTCCTCATGAAAATAGGCTATAAGGTAAAACAGGTGAATATATACCACCTCTGGGACATTTCTGGGATCATAAGACAAAACAGTAATGAGTCCCAAGGATTAAAGGTAACAGAGCTGGTGGGATGAAGCCTCGCAGTCTTGGCCCTTTTCATGTACTTTCACATTAGTGAAAGGAGACATCTTAACAGTTGTAGTTTTTATTTCAGTACCTCTAAATCTGAGGAAGTGCACCCAGTGTTCCCGATGGAATCCACATCCAACCTCTGCCCTGTGATGAAATAACGCATTCGACTTATCTCTTCAGCCAGTTTGTTCTTCAAGTCCTAAGGAAAAAATTAGCACCATAGAGCCTTATATTTAGTTCTGACGATGCAACAAAGAAATATTTCAGGTTCAGATAGAAATGTCCTCTCAGCTACAGTTAACATCAATACAGAATCTAAGATAAGTTCAGAAACCTGGTTCTCTCTTTGGAGCTGCTCCAGCTCTTTCTGCTTGCGGTCTAGCTCCGACTCTTGGCTCTTGCCGCTCCTCTCTGTGCGGCTAAGTTCCTGGCACTTTTGAGAGTAGCGTTCGGACAGCACGTCTAACTTGCTGTGCAGGACACCTGCCTGAGGCCTGACACAAACAAACACACAAGTTCTGGACTGAACAGCAGTTACGCATTTGAGAATCATTGGAGAGTGGCAAACATCTCGAGCCTGCAGCCAGAGCTCTTTGAGTAGATTCCTGTCATCAACATGATACTTACAAGTGGCCTGTGTATGATGAATCCACGCGTGCTGCTCCTCCACAGAGACACTTGGCTTTCTCCAGCTCTCTCTTCATCTCCTCCCTGTGAGCTGCTTTGAGTGCCTCGATAGCTTCAATGAGCATATAGTTGACAGTGTTTCAACAGGTCAAAAGGTGTCGGACTACAACCCCCAATAATGAAAGACGTAGGACAAAGAAAATCTAAATAAAACTATGATGCAAAAAGTTTGATTAAAGACATTAGCTAATGTTGAATTTAACAACAATTTAATATTCTTTTAAAAAGTATACATATATATGGGCCCTTTCACATAATATGAAAAATGATAATATTGATGAAAATATGAAAACCTTTGATTTTGGTTATCTAACATTTATAACCATGAGATGACGGCAAAAGACTACGCTACAAAATTATTGTGGTGTTGTCTTTTGCCCACCAGTATCAAGCATGTATGATTGTGTAGATTTTTTACCATAAAGTGAATAAGCGGTAACGATAATGGATGGATGGATGAAACAAAACGTACGGCATTATGAAGAAGAAAGAAGAAAGAATGGAAGAAGATGCAATTTGTATAGAGGTCCCTTAAATGGAGTGAGACGAAGAAGAAAACTGTTGTGTCCAGACAAATTGCCAATTATCACATTTTCCAAACTAAAGAGGAGATAACTTGTTATCTATGTTCCTGCATCTCTGATGGTAAGGGGGAAGCATTGGTGCCAGTGGAACTGCAGCTGAAATGTCTGCAAACCCATAATTAAGATACTGCATCTGTTACAACAGAATGACTTAAAAATAGAGACCAACTGCAGGCATCACATTGCAGAGATTTTACCTGGTGCTTCATGAAAAGCAAAATACAACAAAGACCACCAACAACTGCTAGAATCATATAAAAGGCAAAAGGGAAACCAATCGAACCCAGGATGACCCAATATCTTTTGCAAAGAACAAGACTTTTGCTAACTTGCTAACCTTTAGCTGCTGCTTGGCTCTCTTCCTGCAGCATCCTGTCTCGCTCCTCCTCCAGCTCCTTTATCTCCCCAGCATGTTTCTCCTGCAGCTCCTGCAGGGCTCTCCTATGGGCTGCCTCCATGGCCTCCAGCTTGGCTCTGCAGGGTGCCCTGGGGCCACAGGGGCTGTCGACATCTACCCCCATTGCCACACGCTCCTTCTTGGCGCTCTCGACTTGCTTTCTAAGAGCGATGGCCTTTACACAGAAAAATAGGAGAAGAAAAGGTCAGAAGACATCACATGGAGATGTTCTTGTATCATCACATGGAAACGTAATGATTTTGCTGGCTCTATATTTTGCAGTGGTAAGGTGCTCCTCTTCATGTTGCTATCAAATGTCTTCCGAGACCCTGATTAAATTATTCACCGCTAATATCTGATCTCTTGGAAAAAAGGTGCACCTCAGCTCTGCAAAATGAAAGAACAGTACCAAATGGTAGAGCCAACAGGGGACACTGGGATGGGGTCTAACTTACCTCCTTATGAAGAACTTCAGCTGTAGGCGTTTGAATGACTTGGGCGCCATTTATATGTTTAAGAGCCTCCTTTGAATCAGAGACACACATTTGGGCACCACCAATTGAGTGTTCGGCATCTCCAGGACTTGAGTTATAGGTTTGTGAACTAGCTGGAGACTCTGACACTTGCAGAGAGCTTAACTGGTAATCCTGGGGTCCAATGAGAGACTGAGCACTTAAGTCACTGAATGATAATGTCTCAAGTTCTGTCCACTTCCTGTTGACTTCAGAGTCCAGAGCGTCAATAACAGGGACGGGTACACTGCCCTTTTTCAGCTCCATGGAGTCCCATCGGCTGCCCATCTCACTGAGAGGGCCCCCCTCCTCAAACCACTTGTTCCTCTCCTCTAGTCGCTTTGCCTGCTCACGGTCCCAGCCCTCCCCTTCTTCCCTCTCACCGGTCGGAGACAGTTCTGCGCCCAGATCTCCGTCTAAGGTTTGTTGGCAGTGGCCTTCCTGGTTGGAGTTCGCAATTGTGGTGGTGCAGCTGGAAGAAGCAGGTTCATCCCTGCAGGTGAAACGATCAGGCGGTTGGCATGGTGATGGTCTCCGGGAGAGGAGGTTCTCTTTCTCGCTGCCCGAGTCTGATTGGCTAAAGTTAGAATGGGGAATATGCACAGGGGTAGAGTTACACATCCAAAGAAAGACAAGAGAGGGGGTTTACTGAAGGCTGAACACTAAATCAGAGAAGCGTTCAGGTCTATTTAGCATGCGCTTTTGGTTTTTAGGTTATTTGGAAACATTGTAAACTCCAAGCTATGAAGTGTGGTATAATGCTTCCCCCATTTGAAAGGATTTATTTATATCTGATTTAGTTGTTGCCAACAGAAAAAAAAATAGAAAGTATGTTACAGTAACAGTTTGATAGGCTAAAGTTGATTTATGTGTATATTTTATGTATTTGTTTCTAACTAAATTCCTTAAAGGTATATTATTATTTTTTTAATTTCCCTCACAGAAACTGGGATGAGGTACTCTAAAACCATTTAGTTTCACTTTATAAAACACATTTAATCGGTTACCGTTAAATCGGCCCAGAATTTAAATACTGCTGCATCCCTGATTAAGTTTTAAATGCTAAGTGGATTGTCCATATTTAGTACTTAATCTTTGACCTCTCAAAGTGCTTTTAGAGTGTGTATCTCGTCACCTATTCACCCACAAAATAATTTAACATGATAAGGTCTATATTGATTCCTGAATGTCTTTTACATCACTTCCAATAGGACAGTACAGATAGAAGTTTGAAATTAATTTTCATGCAGTTTTATATGTCATATTCAGTTATTGAAACTAGATCCAATTTCATCAACTCAGTACTATTCAACCCCATGTTACAGCAATACTTAATGAATAAAAATATAACACAATTAATGACAATGTGACATATTCGTCCTAAACTTGTTTCTCAACTTTAAATGTATTCTTTAATGGTAATGTCTTAACATCTTATTCAAGACCTGAATATTTCTACTGTGTGCTGTGTGGTAACGTTTATGGAAACTTTAAAGATATATTCCCCATAAATGCTTCCTAGAAGAGCATCAAACTCACTTTTTGTTGCTCTGGATCGCCTGCTTGAGTAATTTCACCCAGTTTCGCCGAATTCTGGATGTTATTGCAGACAGGGTGACAACTTCATCTCTCATCTGTGTGATATAAAAAATACGCATGGCATGTAAAACAGGAAATGGCTGTCACATACATATGTGGTCTATCTATAAATACAGAAGGAAGGGGATTTCACCGACTGCCCATCTGTCTACTTGCTTTCTGCAGAAGACGAGCAAATATGGGGCTATAAATACATACTTGTATTTGCAGGCCATAGTTCTTCTCGACGTCACAGTCTGACACACGCACACAAGATGTCAAATCAATTGCTCCGTCCAAGTCGTCTGACTGCAGTAAGGCAAGAAGAACTTTGTTTCAGTGCAGTTCACACAAATTTTCCTCATATGCAATCTTTCAGAGAAACAATTGAATTGAACGATTACACAAATATAAGTAATAAAACCAAACCAACTGAATATGAAAATGGAAACAAATATCAATCAATGTCGAATTTGATCATACCTCCTCAGCCTCAGAGTCTCTGTAGAACCTCAAAGACGTGTCTCCGAGAACAAACCAGTGCTTCTTCCACTAAGAAAAATACAGTAAACGTAACACAACCATAAAACTCATTAAGCGGCAAAATTATGTTAGATTCCTTGTTGTTGAAGGGGATAACTCATGTACTAGGTGAGCAATTTAAAATGATGTGTAAAAAAATAGAATAAGATAAATAAATAAATAAATAATGTGTAACACCATTAGGCAGATGTCCACGTTTTCATATCGAGTGTGATGACACAATATTGATGTACATGGGGATTATCACTAAGCCTTTACCACAGGATAAAAAAAGAGAAATGATTCACAAGCTATCATACATGAATTGCATACATAGATATTTTTTTGTATTATAATAAAAGGCATGTATTTGTTTGAAGAGTGAGCATCACATAGCAGTCTGATCACAAGAATTTCAGATGAAGGAAATATCGAGGTTTCTCACTTCATTTACTTGTACAAATCTGAATTTTGATGTTGGCAAAAGTTGACCATGAGGTAGAGAAAGACAGATGTTTACAGAATGTAAAATTAAAAGTAAGATTCTAAGATTAGCATCAATCTTATGACAAGTTAGTGTGTCCACATTAGATGTCAAAGGGGAGTAGCTTCCAAGGGGCTTTGCTTGTCAAGCAAAGATAGGTCATAGCCTCTCCACTTCATGCTAGATTCCGTCAGAGAATTTATCAGTTAAAAAATGTAGGATTTATCCAAACTGACGAAGAACTTCTTCGTGTCTCTTTACGTCTTTTGTGAAAATTACTCTGAGATATTAAAGGACTATGGGGAAATATCTGTTTGTACAAGTCGAAACTGCAAAAGTAGTCATCAGTGTGATCACATGATCCCAGAATGTCATTGTAAACCATTGTCACTTTATAGCATCCAATAACACAGTTGACAAATATTCACTCTGTCTCATCTTTATCATGGCCTTTGTTACTTGTTATATAAATATATGTGTGTATCTATATATGTATGAAGGGACTGTCTGATTTTGAAAGGTTCAAACAGCTGATCAATGTATGAATAAAAGTTATTCATAAAATGTGAAAACTTCATAACTGTTCTGGAGATCTGCCTGGAACAGGAATACATTTTTGCCGAAAAATCCAGATGTTTATCGGAGCCCCGGCTTGTTTAAGTGAGATCCCTTCCCCTTTGTGTTTGGTCTGCCTGTCAGAGTCTGAAGCTGTGGTTACAACAGGAACCAGCACTAAAATGACAGTTATTTCTGTTTAAATATGTTCTAAAAGACACTCTGCAACAGTCATTTTACCTTGCCTCGTTCATCCAGTTTGGACATCCACCCCTTCATGTAACACCATCTGCATTTAAGAAATTTAAACCAAACTGTTTGAAAACGTTCTGCTGCAGTTTGTGTCACACATTTGATTATGAAAGCAAAGGAAGCGGAAACTGTCACCACCAGACACATGAAATGTTTTCTTTTTTTTTTTAAAGACACTGTCATTATAAAGCATGCGTGGAGTTCTGGAGGATAGAGCTGTGTAAAAAAAAAATCGGGAAACATCTTTTTGAGTTGGAACATAAAATAGAAAGATATGTAGTTCCTACGAAACTGTAAACATCACTGTAGATAGGAGGAGAGAGAGGAACAGGAAAAAACTATTTTTGAGTCACTCGAAAGCCTTTTAGGCCAAGATTAAATACTCACTGGGCATGATGTTGGATCCAATATTTGTAACGTGAGATGGATCAAAAGAAAAGTAACATTGAAAGACATGAAGTCAAAAGAGGAGGCAAATGCATGATTACACAGGGCTTTGGTTCAAAAGGTTTTTGACCCATATAGAAGTTTTCTGCTGTGACATGGGAGTTATTTGTTTAATTTCAAGATCACCCTCTTGTTTATATTGCTCTGTAAGTTGGCGGGTTTTCTGCATGACAAAGCAGCGCAGAGACTGCAAGGCACTTCTGCAAAGCTACTCTTGAATCTATTAATAAAGACGATAACTCACACGAACATGCTGTACTGAACATGAGCTACCAAAACGGATCTTCAGTGACAGAATCGGCCAGGGGAGAGAGACGCAACAAGAGCGAATGTACCTGAGACCTGTTTTCTTTCAAACACTCGCAGGTGCAGGAGATGAAGGGGGCGTGCTCACCTGTGTCGGCGGGCAATCTGCAGGCGCACGCCGCTTCTCCCTCACAGCTCTGTGTTTGCCACTCTGATCATCTGAGGCCTTACATAAAAGAAACAATAGGGATTTTTGTAATCAGCCCCAGCTTTTAAGGTGAATAAAACTGCAGTTATTGCCTCTCACCAGGGTATGAAGAGATGCTGATGACTGTCTTCTAGATAACCGTCCACTGTCGGAGTCGCGGCATCTTTCCCGTCTGTCTCTTCCTCTCTCTCTGCCCCTCCCCCTCTCCTCTGACTCGACCCTTGACCTGTGTAAGTCTGTTTCATCTTGATACCTTCAGAGACAGCCATGTCAAAAAAGACACAGCAGGTACAATTTTGAGTGTTATTTTTGGCTAATTGACCTTTACAAAAACCTGAGGAGCATGTGTCTTTTCTTTTCCCATTACACAGAAAATTACGTATAGATGCAGATGTAAAGAAATCATCTAATGCCACCAACCTGTATGTCCTGGGTCTGGGGTCCCTGCATGGACTGGGACTCTGGTTTCGCCACCTCAGCCCTGTAAACTCTTCTTCCAACTCCACCTGGATCTTTGGTATATTGGCCAAGAGAATGTAATCCTCCATAGTCATCCCTGCCTTGGATTGAAAACACCTATCAAGATTTTACATGACTTTTTGCTTGGACAGGAAAACACAAAAGGGTTAAAGTAAATGAAGGTGAAAATGAGTGAAAATATGGACTTACAATTGTTTTTCTTCCAAATCAGCAGAAATAGGCCTCTGACATTATTTTTTATTCAAAATATTTAGCATTTGTTCCAAATGTGACAAATTTGAGCTCCATGTTTGTTTAATTTTCACTTCATTTTCCTTACCCGATAAGCTTAAAAAATTTTCACATTTAACATTAAATAATTATTAGCATTTACTGTAAAATGCTAAAAAACTCTATTTAGTTATTTTTATAGCTTTGGTGACAGCTCTTACGTTCTTAATCTTCTATTATTTCACATCTCTTTTACTAGAAATACAGTTCCCCCCCCCAAAAAACATTATAAATTTGAGTTTTACAAGTTCAATGCACAAGACAAACAGCTGGTTAGCAATTATGTTAGCAGTGGAACGGCATCACTTGTCAGTGAGATAAGATATTTCCGTCATGGGAATCAAATTAAATGAAGGACTAATACCAAAAGAAGTTTTGTTGTGGAAATTAAGTTAGATTTTTATCTATTAATTTTCTACTTAATTTCCGTTTCATCAAACCAAATTTCCAAAAATGTGTCATGATTTCTGTCCTGACTTTGTTGTTCTGCTCACTTTCCATCCTGCTCCTGCTGATTACTCATTGTCCCCACCTAATTGAACTTCTCAGTGTAAGAGAAGTTCAATTAGGTGCCTTTTCACAGCCTTCAAGCACTACTCCATGAACAAAGTGTTTTCCTGTTTTTTTACCCTGCCTTGTCTGACCACTGAGGTGGACCACTGAAGCTTATTCTATACTGGGTAACCTTTAACTGAGAGGCCTCTTGTGCATGACCCTTGACAACCAGTTGTTGGACTGTGGATGTAAGATTCTCTAATATCCGGGAACATCTCAGAGACCTTAAAGCCTCTCTTTCACAGTCCCGTAGAGGCTGGATTCTTGGATCCTGTGAATCCCTAGGTTCCGACCCAACACCGTATCCGGAATTAAATCGGACCACTTCAACACCTTAGCTCCCTATCGTCAAATGAACTTTTTGAAACATATTCCTGGTCTCGGCTGCGGATTGGGTTCTGGCAAAAACATTACAAAATGGCTTTAATCAGAATAATTCTACAATCATTTCTATTTCCACAAAAGGCAAGAGAAGTATTTATAAGTCCAGTGGGGCTGAATAAAAAGGGACCTGGAACCTGCAGTCCCAGGTTTAGATTTAAATGGGAAGTTAACCATTTTTAACTGTGCATTTTCCAAGCACTGCTAAGAAATATTAGGCATGTCTGTTGATAACCTTTGAAATGATGCTGTCAAATAAAAAAGCTTTTTATATTTTTTTATATTTGTATTTTTAAAATGGATCTGCTTTTTACAGGGGTCCTTTTTGTGTCCTGTAAATATTGTAGTCAAATGCAAGGTCTGTCCAAAAGAGATGTAACACGCAACAGCAATCTACAAAAACGTTTGAGAATAGAAAAGAATACCAGGGCTCAATCTATCTGCAAGCCTCAAATTGATATATTCTGGTTTACATTAAAGTTAGCTGATCATAAGTAAGTCCCTGCAAACCTCACTGAAAGGGCAGGGAGTCCAACGCAAAATGTGAGACTGATAACTTCATACAGAAAACCGTTAGACCAAATTATTGCTGCCAATTTCACACAACACCATGTTCTGGCTCAGTTTTTCTCAAACAGATGATCATTACGGTGGCACACATGACGTGTTGTTTATCAGAGGATACATTTACCTATTTTTGAAACCTAAAATAGAGCAAATATATATTTTTCTTTATCCATATATATATATAAAAACTTAAAATCAAACTAGAAAGTATTTTCTCCTTCATTTGAGTTTATATGAATTTTTTTTGTTTATTCTTTATTCTTCAGAGTAGTAATTTTTACTCTGAATATCTGATATGATTTCACGCTCAGCTGTTTGTAGTGATCTGTGTCTTCATCTTATGGAAACAACTCAAAAACTAACTCAATTGAAATGTGTGGAATGTGGTTGAATCAATAGTTTCTTAAAGCTGAACGCAACTTATAAATTCTGTGTTTCAGTTAAAAGAAACAGCAATTATTTCATAACCGTTTAAATGTTCCATATTACACCTGATACACGTACCTCCTCAAGTTCTTCTGGAGTCTTTTGAGGCTCACAGATCAGCAAGGCCTCCATGCCTCGCCTCACGCTGCTTCTGCTTCTGTCGGTGCTGACATTGTAACTCTCTACGCCAGCCCTATCGGCCTCTGTGGCCGGAGCGTGTGACGGGGAGCCACCCAGAAGCCCGCATTCCGTGGCCCTTCTGGACGAAGAGGATGCATGTGACGGTGGAAGACTCAACAAAGAGTGCGAAGACCCCTGCCAGGAGCCTTGAGAATGAGTCGGCCTGCTGTCCCTGGAGTCGGACTCCCTCTGTAAAGCGTGGCCGTGAGGGCCGTTGGTGTTCCTGGGGGGCGACACTTCGCGGCTGCTCAGGGCCGTTCTGGTTCGAGGCGATGCTCGGGATCCACCGCATGAGTTTTGCTTTGCTGCTGAGGACCCACGGCGGGATATGGACTCAAGATTCCTGTACAGTTTCTCAGAGTCCAGACTGTGTCTGTTTGAGGCTTGTGACGGACTTCCTGACTCTCGGCTGTGACCCTTCCGTGATTTATACTCCCCACTTTGAGAAAGGAGAGAGTCCGTGCGTCTGTGAAAATGGGCGTCTCTAGTTGGGGATTCGGTACGGGCGCGTGAAGGACTGGACCTGCCTGACGTGTGACGTGAAGGATCCTGAGATGGATGCTGAGAGGAGCTGTGGGACGAAGCGTGAGCCCGGGGTTGAGTCCTACAAAGGCTGCTCCCCCTCCGAGGTCCGACAGGAGAATCGTGCACCTTGTAGCGGTCTGGACTCACAGAGCTGTTGCGCGTTGGAGAACTTCTCTGTGAGTCAGCCCCTCGTCTGAAGTTGGAGTGGTACGTATACCTCTGCGGGGATTCACTTCTCCACGTTTCCTGCATGTAGGTCTCGGGGTTTCTTCTCTGAGAGGGCAATCCGAGGCTGACGTTCCTGTAGGGGACGCAGGCCTTAGGCTCAGGGACGTAGTTGCTTGGGAGGGGATGCCCCCTCTCGTAGTAACGGTACGAACGCTTGCTGGCCTCATCCAACTGCGGCACACCATCACCTCTTCTTTCTGGGGAGAAATAGCCACTCTCTTTTCCCCTGTCCCCTCTGGATTCTGAAAATCATACAAGCCCAAAATCATTGCCTTGAAATTTGTTTTTTTGTGTGTAAAGCTATCGCAATTAATCTCTGCTGTGACTGTTGTCAAAATGACAAAATGAGGGATACAGTGTCTGGGAACTAACCAGAGGCCCGACGGGATCTATCTCTACCCCCCCTTTCATCCATCCAGGAGCTTTCAGTATCTCGGTGTGGCGACGGGTCCAGCCGGGTCATCTCCGTCTGACCTGGACAGAGCTTCCCTGTGCTGGAGGATCTGCCCCTCCCTGAACAGCCCCACTGATCTTCAGACCTGGAATGAGTTGAAGACGGCTGGATTTAGGGATATGCACGGAAGCTATTTTGAGCACAGAGTATCAAAATAATGGAAAATCACGGCGTCTTATTGTATTAAGCGGATATTCCACAGTGGTTACATTTACTGGTTGGACTCACTTCCAATGTTCCTCACAGACTTGTTACAGACACTTTTCTTTACAGCGTAAACAACACCTTTAGAATGATGGTACTTGCTTTCAGTCACGCTGTTTTGGGTCAAAATATTCAATTATATCTCCGAACCTGTGAAATCATCTTTCAGTGGACGTTTTACTCAATTTCTCTTTTTTTATGCATTTTTAAGCATATCTAATTTTAAAAAGCAACATATGAAATATTATTACTACTATCTACATTTTTCTGATAACAGACAAATACCTCCACAGCTTTTCATTGGAAGTCTGACTCCAACAATTCTCTAGGTCTGTACTGATGTTTCTTCAGAGGAATGGTGATTTAAAGGTCCTCAATTGGAAATTGGATGCCTTGAAACTTTGCTGGTTAATTTCAAATGCCTGTCGTGAATTTCTGAGCATAGCCCTAACCCTAACCCTATTTCTCTGTTAGTTAGTCTGGACATGGCGTGAATATATGGCCACAAAAGTAAACCATATTTACAGGTGGAACCTCTGGGTTTGCTGTAATCTATTTGACTCTTAACTGTTTAAATGGGAGCAGGATGCACATTGTAAGACAGACTTCCTACTTCCTGTGCTAAAATAATGTCTTGCTCTTTTGTAGTGACATAGGAGTTTAGGAAAACTTCATTTGAACCCAATATTCAGCACACTAAACGAGAGTCTTCATGCCATTGTGTTTGCTTGGCAAGACTGTTTACAGGTTGACAGTACGAGGAACAAACAGCAGAGGCTTCCTAAAACCATAACCTTTTTAAATCTACTGATTAGATAATGCTGACCAAGATTTTTTCACCCTGGAAAGAGTTCTTCAACTAATTATTTCTTATTACATGCACAATAAATCTGTAATTAAGTTAATGTCGATAGCAACTTGATAAGCTATAGGCTAGTTAGTAAAAGCGATTTTTGAAATCAGGCTATAGGATACAGTCACCTGGATTGTATGTCAGCGTCACAGTTCTCAAGTTCCCGTTCGGGACTCAGGCTGTGCACCAGACTCCACTCATAGGTCCAACCGCCACTGACATCATCACTACTGGCACTTGTGGTCACCTCTGACAGATCATCATCAATGGTGGCATCCTGGTTTGTGGTTTGCACAAAATAACATATTCAAATCACTAGATAACTTAAAAAGAGGCAATTTGAGCCAAACAATTACTGAATCTATGTAAAAAAAATAATGTACTGTATTAAAAAGTTTGTAAATGACCATTTATTACAGAAAAAACACGTACACATGTTTGTGTCTATCTATCTATCTATCTATCTATCTATCTATCTATCTATCTATCT